GGAAGCAGATCTGGCTGGACCTCTCAGTCCCCAGCACCCACACAGCCTGACAGCTCCAAGCTGAGCTAGGGGTTTCATCTGAAATGTCGGCAGCTGGAGAAAGAAAGTTTTGAGCGAGGATTTCCGTGAGGCCTTTCTGGAGTGGGAGCCGGGCTCGCCCTACCAGCTGCAGGGGTTGCCCCACACTCTTTGGGCTTCCATTGGCCTGGACTGGGTTCTCTTTGGGAGGTGGAAAAGGTGCAAATTCTGCCAATTTTTCTTCAACCCCTCCCAGGCCCATCCTCCGTGGGATGGAGCTGGAGGGGAAGCCCTGCTGCCCCATCAACCCGCTCCCCACTCCACACACACACAAGGTGGCTCTGAGCGTTGCTGCCTATGAACTTCTCTTCCAAGACAGCCAGAAAGCTCCTCAGTGCTAAGGCTGATCACTGCAGTCTTGCACCTGCTTCCTCTCTGCGGGGAGGGGCCGTCATACATTCCCATGGGCTCTTGCGGCTCTTCCCAGAGGCTCCCCTTCTAGAAAGTTCTCTCTGACCCGCAGGGCTCCTCCCCTTCCCTGCCCAGCCTGTGGCTGGGGTCTCCGTGACAGCACCTGGAATACTGACCTCATTTGCTGCTAGAGGCTGGTAGCAGCCCACAGCCTGGCCCAGGAGACCTTGGTGTGTGTTTTCTGAGAGGATGACAGACAGACAGACAGACAGACAGACAGACAGGGTGTTTGGGTCCTGTTTCCCTCACCCTGACTCCTGGGGCAGGAGAGCACTGGGGGAGGTCCTCCTCAGCTCACATTATCTCCCAGGAGCAGACAGCCCAAAGCTCCCTATGGCCTCCCAGCCCAGGACAGTGTCAGCAGAGGCCTCCTGGTAGGGCCAGGGAAGCAGAGGGTGGCAGCCCCTTCAGCTTGGTTGTGAGATACCTGCCCTCCTCCGGGTGCCACCCGGCCCCACCCTGATTCACTCAAGTCAGACAGACTTGGGGGTGGGGTAGATTGGGGGCAAGTCCTGTCTCTGCCAGGACGCAGGCTGTGTGACCTTGGGGGAGTTCCTTGACCCCTCTGAGCAGTAGTACCTAGGGTGGTGGAAGAAAGGCTCTTACCAAAGGGCACAGCAGCAGGCTCAGAAGTTTATTCACAAATTTCGTGCACACAACCCAATTCCCCAAGGTGACCATTTGCTCTGTCACCTGGGACACCTGGGACAAGTTCTTTGCCTTCCCTGAGCCTCAGTTTTCAACCGAGGGTAAGACTGGATGCTCCTTGAAAGGTACTTCCTGCCTCAGACACACACACGTCTCATACCCAGGGCGCGCCTTGCATTCAGGGTCTCTGCACAGGCTGTTCCCTCTGTGGGGACTCCCCCTTCCTGTCACTGCCTGTTTAAATCCCGTTGGCTCCCGGTGCCACGCGGGTGCCCTGAGCCAGGGCAGGCTCCGAATGGCATTCCCTCCGTCCACACCCTGGTAGAGATCGCTGTGCGCTGGCTCCGAGGCACTCTCCAGGGAGATGCTAACACCGAGGACCCACAACAGCTGAGCCTGCAGCGCCACCCACGGGCGCTTGGAGCATCTGCGCCAGTATGGGGCCGGCCGTGCTCCCTGCTGCCCCTGGTAACTTGCTTCACGAACCCCTGGGAGGCCCCGCCCTCAGCAACCACGCCTAGGTTTCTCTGGACTGCCTGGGATCCATCACTGGCAGGGGAATCTTTGCTCTTGCCCCACTGGCCCCCATGCTAGATCCCCTGGGAAAAGGTCACCCTCAGTCCTGAGTTGAACTCCCCCTTCTCCATCTGTAGGTCTCTTAGACTCAGAACAAAGGCTTAGTGCACTGGGGCCAGGTTTGTAAAAGGAAAGAGGCTTTGGTGGAACCTCTGAGCCTCTGAGACCGTGTTCCTTTTTTATTGTCTGTACAAGAGGCGTGGGCCCAGAGGAAAAACAGCTCCCGAGGGAAGCTGTAACTGCAGCGTTGGTTTGTTCCTTTGATCATTAACATTTCTTTGGGTCTCCCAGCCCAGGCAGATGTTGGAAATGATGATGCCCAAGAGCCAGCCCCTGCCTCGCATGTTGGGAGTAGCTGGCAGCAGGCAGGGGGTCAACAAACTCCTTTGTGACAGGACGGGCCATGGGCTTCTCAAGGTTCCTCCCCCCACCGCACTATGTCCTCAGGCAGTGAGCCACCACGAGTACTGGGAGCTTGGCCTATTCCAAGCTCTTGGCTGCTGTCACTCTTTCTCTTGGACACTTGCTCTTGAATGGGACAATGAAGAAGAAAGACCTGAATGCCCTTAAAATCCAAAGCAAAGTGTGATGGTGGAGGACGATGAGGACGTGATCCTGAAATCTCAGCACGGTAGGTGGCTGCTTGTTCTGGATGTGCACTGGCCACATGAAGCCAGTCTGGTTCAGAAAAGGAAAACCAGTCCCAAGGGCAGTGGCGTTTCAGCCTGGGGCAGGCAGCCCCCACGGCACCCCATTTCCCTCTCAGATGTTGGCACAGGGACTCTTTGAGAGGCAGCTTCTTGTCCAGAGGGGCACACCTCTCAGGGGAGGGTGCAGCCAGGCCAGCTGAGGAGTCCCAGTGGGCCCAAGGCACTGTGTCACACAAGCAATGACCAGCCGCTCCTGATGGCAGCCCAAGCCCAGCCCCAGTGGCTGCCAGCTCTGCCCTGGCCCAGGTGGGTAAACGCTTCCTCTCCCCTCCCAGTAGGCACAGAGGGCTTCAGAGTGTCCAGCCAGACACCCCAAGGATCCGCCTGTGGTGCCACAGCACCACCCCCCGTGCCCACACACACACAGCCTAGGCTTGGGGTGCTGCAGATGCCCCCACCACCCACAAAGCTGATACCCTTTTATCTGTGTAGCTACCCCGCTCTTATCTCCTCCACAGAGACTAACTGCCCTCCACTGCCCCCACCCCTCCAGCCAGCCGCTGGGCCTCCTGGGAGCTGTCTGACATTTGATGTGATGGGGGCAGGGTCTGGGAACAGCCCTTTCTGTGCAGGAGAGGTGGCCAGGGGCCTGCGGGTTAGGAGCAGGATCCTGCTGCTGTGTGGCCTCAGACCAGTGCTGTCCTCTCTCTGGGCTCAGCCTCTTTGCCTGTGATGGAGGTGTTGGGGTTTGATCACCCAGGGCCTTGAATATTGGGGCACCATGACTTTGGCAGGGGACAGGGATTAGAAACTCACAATTCTGGGTGTGTTAGCAAGGGGGTCAGCTGAGTACAGGGACAGGAGGGGGCGGTTAAGCAGAGAGAAGATATGAATGTCCTCAGCTTCTTGACCCAGGGAAGTATTCAAGGGCAAGGTGGGGCTGGGGAAGTCACAGAGAAGCTCCAAGTGCCCGGTGAGACTGGGTCAAGTTTTACCTGGTGTCCTCATAGCCCCAGCGTCCATCTGGCCTTCAGTATCTCCAACTCCAAGCCCCCTGGTTGTTATGGGTGAAGGACCCATAGATTTCCGACTGGCAGGGTTGGGAGGCCTGGGCTGGTCGCCATCCTGGAGGCGGGTCACAGGCACATGGCAGAGAGTGGGAGGCGTGCTTGCCAGGGTCTTGCAACCTTGAAGGCTGCCGTCAGTGGGTCCACCAGAGTGAAAGGCCTAGGGTAGGTGGGTATTGAGAAAATGGCATCCTTGGGGCCCCTCTAGCTTGCCCCTGTGGACTGTGGCCCACAGGGCCAGGGAGGGCAAAGGACTCCCCAGAACCACTGTAATGCCAGGCCCTACTCAGGACACCCTATGGCCACTGGGGAGCCATACATACCGAAACCCAGTCTGCTGGCTGTCCCTACCCGGCTGGGTTTCGGCCAGGCAAAGCAGGGGTTGGGGAAGCAGGCGGGGGCTGAGGTCTACTCAGGAGCCCTCCCCAGCCCTGCTGGGAGTAGCTACAAAGCCAAGGGGAGGCCCCGAGGTGTTGACTAGCCAGTGCCTCTTGGCCCTTCCTTAGCACACCTTCCCAGGCTCAGCCCTGCCAGGAGAGCCATCCCAGAGACGACAACGGAGCAGCATGGGGGTCCGTGGGAGACCAACTGTACAAGTGCCCCTGGCATGTTCCTTTGGACTCTTCCCAAGCTCTGGGGTCAGACAGACCTAGGACCCAATCTCTGTGCCCATGAACTGGTGACCCTGGGCTAGGATGATATCAGCCTCCCCACAGCCTGTGGGTTCTGAATGAGCCACTGCATATAGGGGCACGGGAGCCACAAGACAGAATCATCAGCCTCTAGAGCCTTCTTCAGCCCCTTTTTAATTTTATTTATTTATTTATTTTTGAGATGGAGTCTTGCTTTGTTGCTAGGCTGGAGTACAGTGGCACGATCTCAGCTTACTGCAACCTCTGCCTCCCGGGTTCAAGCGATTCTCCTGTCTCAGCCTCCCAAGTAGCTGGGACTACAGTCACGCACCACCACGCCCAGCTAATTTTCGTATTTTTAGTAGAGATGGCGTTTCACCATGTTGGCCAGGATGGTCTCGATCTCTTGACCTCGTGATCTGCCCGCCTCAGCCTCCCAAAGTGCTGGGATTACAGGCGTGAGCCACCGCGCCTGGCCTTCTTCAGCCCCTTCCAAGGAGGCCAGGAATTGTGTTTGGCCTGGCACTCCGTGGAAGCCGGCTGGCCCAGGGCTGGGAAGGCAGACTGCACTTGGGGAGACATCTGGGAAGTGAGGATGTTAGGGAGGGTCTCTGCGAACCCCTCCATGCCACCCTCCTCGGGTAGGGTTAGTTGCTGAGAGGTGGCTCCCAGCCCTGTTCTAGAATTGGGTTGGGGTTGGCTGCTGAGAGGAGGAAGACGGGCCAATGGTTTTGGGTCATTTCCACCAAGTTCTGAGCCCCAGAATGAACCTCAGAGGCAGCAGGGAGAGGCGGGTGGGATGGCCACCGGGGAGGGAGGGAGGGGATACAGAGAAATACAAGTGTGGGGACCCCTCCTGGTGCCCAGGCCCAGCTAGGAGGGCCTCCTCTATCACCCAATACCATGGCCTGGCATTTGCGTGCAGGAAACACAGGAAGTGAGAATAAAATTACTTATTTTATTTCAAAAAATTTAGGGGTGGGGAAGCAACATGATAAACATTACAATCAGCTCCCTGTGGGTTTATTCTGCCTCTGTGGGGGTCGGGGGCACACAGTAGCTGGGGGCATGCCATTGCCATGGCAACCCAGACGCTTAGATGCAGGTCCCTCCTGGCTGGTTAGAGCTGGGAGAACTAGGCGCCGTCCCAAAAGGACCCCATTCTGAGTTGTTGGTGCCCACCCCTCCCCTGAATCTAAGAACTGATTAGTGGGTTAGACTCTGCAACAGCAGCTCAGGATCCCCCCAGGACTTCCCTCCCTCCCCTCTCACTTGCCCCTCCGCTCAGCTACCAACACTTCCAGCCCCCACCTCCTCCTCCTCTCAGCTCCACCCTGGTCCTCATGAGGTAACCCCCTCCCCAGCCCCTCAGGGCAGCCTCCTGCTGAGACTCCCTCCCGCTCTGCCTCTCTGGCCCTCCCTGACAGTCAGGGCCACAGAGCCAAGGCCATGTGGTGAAAGGCAGATTGTCACAAGGCCCAGCCCTGCTGCCCACTCCTATCAGAACGCATCCTGGAGCAAAAGGTTAAACACAGTGAGGGCAGGTACAGACAGGAGAGTGCCTGAGGCAGCGCCGTCCACACAGCAGCCCCAAGATGGGGAGGGCTGCGACGAGACCTCCCAGCTCCAGTGCCCTCCTGCAGCCTGCAGGGCCCACATCCCCTGGGGCCAAATGGCCAGGGATTGGCTGGCACTGCCCAGCTGGTAACGGAGCATTTGGAGAAGGGTCAGACTGCTCCAGAATCTTGGACCTCAGGACACCCTGAGGACAAGCTGCGGGTGGGGCTGAGCCTCCAGGCCAGCTGGCGCCTCCCTGAACCTGGCCACTGCCTCTGCTGAGCCACAAGAGACAAGGGACTCCCCTTTGGTCCCAAGGTCACAGGCTGAAGTTGGGGAGGCGGTAGAATGGGGCCCGTGAAAGCCCAGGGTCAGAGCACTCTAGTGACGGGGTGGAGGACTCTTCCAGGGCCTGAGGTTTGGGCTGGCTGCGCCCGCAGGCCCGGGGCCCTGGCCATCTTAAGAGAGGCCCGGGGTACTGATCCCGGCTGCGGGACGGAGACCCGAGCTTTGTAACAAAGCAGGTCTCTCCACAAAGGGTGGACCAATGGCGGCCGTCAGGGAGAGTGAAGCCAGGCCCGGAGGGTCATGGGCCCTGCCCGGCTAGGACCTGCCCCCAGAAACCCCAAGAGCATCTGAAGAACTGAAGCAGGGGTGAGGCCTAGTGACCAGGCTGCAAGGGGAGGCTCACAGGCCAGACCCAGGGACTGCTGGTCTCCTCCCACCTTTAGGGGCAGAGAGTGGAGGTAGGACAGAGCCACCCGCCGTGGCCACCAATCTCTGCTCCTTGGAAGAAGGGGCTGGGAGGCCCTGGGAGGGTCATGGCTGACGGCTGAAGGAGGGCAGGCCCCATGAGGGCAGGGTGCTATGCGGGAGACGTGAAGGGAAAAAGGAGAGGAGGAAGGGAGAAAGATCCAACACGGAGTACTTGAGTGGTGCGTACACCAGCCTCTCAGACACCCCTCAGAACAGAAGCCCACCATTCCTCTGGACATCACCCCACCTGCGCCCCTTCCCCACGGTGTCCAGGGCTGTGGCTTCATTTGTGAAGGTAGGCGTCCAGCCACAGCTTCCCAGACTTCCTCAGGGACCTGCGAAGTTGGGGATGGACGAGGGTCAGGGACCAGGACGGGTCCAGCCCCAGGGAGTGCAGGGGCTGAGGAGGCCATCATTAAAGTGGAGGTCCACAGGGTGATCCCAGGGCCCAGCCCCTGTGGACCTCCACCCCTCACCTGATGATGTCCAGCAGGGCCCTCAGTAGCGGCTTCTCCTGGTATTCAATGCCATGCTTGGCACATAGAGACTTCACCAGCGGGGCGATCTTGTGTAAGTTGTGCCGGGGCATGGTGGGGAAGAGGCTGAGGAGCATGTGGGGTGGGCAGAACGTGAGGACTCCAGAGGGCCAGGCTGCTCCCGCCTCCTCCCACCACCCGCGCAGAGGCTGGCTGGGGTCCTCGGAGACCCTGTCCACAGCCAGGACCAGGCTCAAAGTGTGGCTCCTCGTGTGTGCCCAGTGGGGTACCATGTGTGTGGAGGGGAGGGTGCAGCCCTCCATGAGCAGGAGGGCATTTGTGCTTTACGGAGCTGGGAAGATACTGGGTAGCCAGAGACAAAGTGTCATGTTTTTCAAAAAAGAAATGAGATAGCTGGAGGATGCTAGAAAAAGAGGCAGTGAGGTGGGGCACGGTGGCTCATGCCTGTAATCCCAGCATTTTGGGAGGCCGAGGCGGGCAGATCACTTGAGGTCAGAAGTTTGAGATCAGCCTGGGCAACATGGCAAGACCCCTTCTCTACAAAAAATAAAAATAAAAAATTAGGCCGGGCACAGTGGCTCACACCTGTAATCCCAGCACTTTGGGAGGCCGAGGCGGGTGGATCACTTGAGGCCAGGAGTTTGAGACCAATCTGGCCAACATGGTAAAACCCCATCTCCATTAAAAATACAAAAATTAGCTGGGCGTGGTGGCACATGCCTGTAATCCCAGCTATGTGGGAGGCTGAGGCATGAGAATTGCTTGAACCCGGTAGGTGGAGGATGCAGTGAGCCACTGCACTCCAGTCTGGGCAACAGAGCGAGACTCTGTCTCAAAATAAATAAATAAAAGTAAAAAAATAAAAAACCAGCTGGACATGGTGGCATGCACCTGTAGTCCCAGCTACTCAGGAGGCTGAGGTGGGAGAATGGCTTTAACTCAGGCATTCCAGGTTGCAGTGAGCTAAGAAAGCACCACTGCACTCCAGCCCAGGAAACAGGGTGAGACTCTATCTCTAAATTTTTTATTTTTTAATAAAAAAAAATCAGTGACAAGAGGTGAGGCAAGGACAAGGGGCAGCAAGGCAGTCCCTCGGCCAATGTTCCAGGCAAGCCCTGCCTTGCTAGCCTCACAGGGTCATGAGGTGCGTGTGCAGGCTCCATAACTACAAAATCCCAGGCCCACGTAGAGGGAGGTAGTTATCACTATGACCAAGTGGCACAGGACAAGGGGCACAGGACGCCCCTCCCGGAGATGGCACAGGGGAGCCCCTCTCCTGACCTCAGCGGGGCTGGCTGGGAGCCTCGCTCTAGATTGGGCAGAGACCTTGTCACAGAGACAAAGAGGTGGCCCCCACATTCTGCGCTCTGCCCAGACGGGGTAGCGGCCGCTTCCCTCCCGCTGTGGGTCTCCCCGCCTCCCCGCAGCCCCGCGCTCACTGGTGCTCAATCTGGAAGTTAAGGTGTCCACTGAACCAGTCGTTGAAGAAGGACTGCTCCACGTTGCAGGTGGCTGTCAGCTGTCAGTGGAACAGATGCGTGTCAGGGAACAAAGGAAGGCCTAAGGGCCCGGCCTCATTCCCAGGGGGCCCAGCCTTACCCAGGGTCTCCAGGTCACCCCTCCACATCATACCGTCCTGCCTGATGGCCTCAGCCCATCCAGATGCCCCACCTGTCCCTCCAGGGGACTCCTGCCACCCTTTCTTGCTTAGCCCTGAAGCTCCCAGCAGAAGGACACAGGCAGCCCCGGGAGGCCCAGCACAGCCCTGGATCAACAGATGCAGAGCATCTGGGGCCAGGACATGGACACCGGGACCAGGCTCTGCACAGCTCTGGTGACTGGCCCTGCCTTCCCTACCTGGCTACTGAACCAGTCGCGGTAGGCCTCCTGGTCAATCTCCATGACGATGTGATTCATCTGTGTGACCCACACGAACCAGTGGCTCTCCAGGAACCTGCAAGAGAACACAGCTCAGCGCAGGGGCCTCGGGGGGCCCGGTCATGGTGGGAACAGATGCACTCTCCCGACAGCCCAGGACAGCCCCTGCCAAGGGGCCAGGATGGGAGGTCCCTGGGCAAAGTGGAGCCGTCCGAGCCTCTTCTCATGCCAAAGCCCTCATCGGTGCCAGTGGAGGGCCCAGGGATGAACCAGCAAAGCCCAGGCACCTGATGAAGTTGAGGAAAAGGAGGGCTCCCAGGATGCCGTAGAAAGGGATGTAGGTGACGAAGAACCGGATGTAGTAGCTGATGGCCCAGGCCAGGTCCTGCGGGGAAAGATGAAGTTAGGCGCAGCCTGCCCTCTCCTCTGCCCGGGCACCATGTGCCTGCCCCAGATGTGCACACACCTCACACTCAGGCCTCTAGAAGCTGGACCGCAGCCCACTGAAGCACGATGGGCAATTACACGCAACCTGTTTGCTCTGGGTTTGCATGGCTGCCTTTGTTTCTAGGGAAATGCTGAGTGTTTTAGCATCAGGAAGTGACTGTGCCCTGCTCTCTGGGAGAGAAACGGACTCTCCTGCTGAGGGGCAGTCGTGGGGTAGGGGTGGGGGTCAGCAGCCCTCTCATGGGTCAGGGGTGATTCTGAAGGTGTGCCCCCAACCCTGGGCCAGGTCCCCAACCGTCCCCCAGTCCTGTCCCTGCGCCTTGCACCTGGGTCTCCTCCTGGCCTCTCCTTCCAGCAGGACAGAGGGCTTGGAGCGGCAGGGAAGGTCAGAGGCACCATTGTCCCTACCTCAGGGCTCTCGCAGCAGAGGCTGGCCTCCCCATGCCCCACTGTCGTCCTGTGCCCCTCCACTCTGCTCTCCTCGCTGCCTCTGGCTGGAGTGGTACCAGGGACTGGGCTTGGACATCTCCTCTCATGTACTGGGAGGGTGACTTCACGGCTCTGCCCTGTCCACTGCCTCTCTGCCACCCAAGTCTTGTCTCAACTGGACCACAGCAGCAGCCTCCCACGGTCCCCTGCTTGTCCTCACGGCCACGGCAACCAGAGTGGCCTTCGCTCCAAGTAGGTCCCATCTCTCCCCTGCTAAAGCCTCCATCCCACCCAGAGTCACTCATGGAGCCTCGTGGGGTCAAGAACCTGTCTTTACTCAGCCCCCTGACCCAGCTCACTCCCTGCCCGGGGCCTCTGCACGGCCTGTTCCCACTGCCAGGGCGCTCATCCTGCCGTGAGTTTAGGTACGGGGACACGTGCCACGGGCTCGGCACAGGTGTCCGAGGTGGAAGGTGAGGCCAAGGGACTGCCCTGTCTCACGTCGAACGGCTGAAGTACAAGGTCACATTTGAGTCTTAAAATAGATCCCCACTCCCCTGGAGAGGGGGAGACTAGGAGGTTATTCCAGCGGCTCAGACATGAAATGACAGAGGCCTAAACCAGAACCCACGGCGCTGACAAGGAGGTGACAGATTCCAGAACTGTCAGCGGCAACGGTGGCTGCATTTGCGCCTGCTTGGCTGTGGCGAATCTAGGCTGGTCCTAGGTGATAAGGGGTCGGGTGCCAGCAGCTGAACAGGAAAGGAGGAGGGGAGCGCTCAGGAGGGGCTGGAGATGGCTTCAGGGCCAACATTGGCTGAGGACAGGACCTCACGTTCTAATGAGGTGGCCTTCAAGGGGATGAGCGAGGCAGATGTAGCCAGTTCTGCTCCCACTTTCCATCACATTCCTTCTATTTTGTGTGTGGTGCAGTAGTGTGCAGTGTATCTACACATATATGGAAACAAAATGAGGATATGGTTATGGATTTTTTGTTTTTTGGAGACGGGGTCTTGCTCTATTGCCCAGGCTGGAGTGCAGTGGTGTGATCATGACTCTGTCCCAGGCTCAAGCCATACTTCCATCTCAGCCTCCCAAGTAGCTGGGACCACCACACCTGGCTAATTTTTTTTTTTTTTTTTTTGGGACGGAGTTTTGCTCTGTCGCCCAGGCTGGAGTGCAGTGGTGCGATCTCAACTCACTGCTACCTCCACCTCCTGGGTTCAAGCGATTCCACTGCCTCAGCCTCTCGAGTAGCTGGGACTACAGGCATACACCACCACGCCCAGCTAATTTTTTGTATTTTAGTTAAGGCAGGGTTTCACCATGTTGGCAAGGATGGTCTTGATCTCCTGACCTCGTGATCCGCCTGCCTCGGCCTCCCAAAGTGCTGGGATTACAGGCATGAGCCACCGTGTCCGGCCTCACCTGGCTAATTTTTTTAAAGTTTTTATAGAGATGGGTGGGGTGGAGGGTGTCACTTATTTGTCCAGGCTGGTCTCAAACACCTGTGCTCAAGTGATCTTCCAGCCTTGGCCTCCCAAAGTGCTAGGATTAGAGGTGTGAACCATTGCCCCAGCCCAATTTTTATTTTTAAGAGACAGGGTCTCGCTCTGTTGCCCAGGCTTGAGTGCAGCAGTATGTGATCACAGCTCACTGCAGCCTCAAACTCCTAGGCTCAAGCCATCCTCCTACCCCAGCCTCCCAAGTAGCTAGACTGCAGGCACGCATCACCAGGCCCAGCTTTGTGTAGAGACAGGGTTCCTCCATGTTCCTCAGGCTGGTCTCAAACTCCTGGCTTCAAGTGATCCCTCCCACTTCGGCCTCCCAAAGTGCTGAGATCACAGGCGTGAGCCACCATGCCTGGCCTGGACTCTTTTTGAGTGTAGAGGGCAACACATACTCAGAGACCGTTGGTTTCAGGGGCAGGGAGTGCGGGAGATCAGAAGCAGCTAGAGAGGTGGAGCGAGGGGGCTGGGAAGAAGCCAGCAGAGGTGGCAACCTGGAAGCCAACAGGAAGAAGAACTGCAAGCGGGAGTGGCCGGTGGTGTCAGATACAGCAAAATTCCAGGAGGGTGAAGCCTGGGAGCATCTCAGGATCCAGGACGTGGCCCCGGGAACCGGGAAGCTTGCCAGAGCATGTAAACCTCCCTAGGAAGCCTCCTTCAAAGATCTAAGGGTTTATCACCTCTTTCCTCTAAGCCAGGGTCCCCCAACTTCCACACTGTTGGCACCTGGGACAGGCTGCTTGTTGTCATGGGCGGTTCTCCAGGGCATGGCAGGGTGCTTAGCACCATCCTGGCTGGATGCCCACCAGATGCCAGTAGCACCCTCCTCTCCTGAAGTTGTGACAATCAGAAGTGTCTCCAGATACTGTCAAAGGGCAGAACAGCTCCCCTGAGAACCAGTGCCCCAGGTCATAGGTGCGCTCCTGGCTCTGAAAGCCCCGCGGCTCATCACATTGTCCCCACTCTGCCATCTCCTTTTAGGAACACAGGGTGATTTCTTTTCCTGTTTAATGCTTTGTTCCTTAGGGAACAAGCACAGTCAAAAACAAAAAAAGAGGTTGCTCACTGCAACCTCTGCCTGCCAGGTTCAAGCAATTCTCCTGCCTCAGCCACCACCATGCCCAGCTAATTTTTTGTATTTTTAGTAGAGACGGGGTTTCACCATGCTGGCCAGGCTGGTCTCGAACTCCTGACCTCATGATCTGCACGCCTCGGCCTCTGAAAGTTCTGGGGTTACAGGCATGAGCGACTGTGCCCAGCAATAGGCCATTTATGAGTTAGAACAGGATTGGATGCTAGAGGCAAGGAGATGGTGTAACATGTATGAGGAAGGAAAAAACATAATGATGCTAGTCTCTAACTTGAGCCACTGGGTGGATGATGGAGCCATTCATTAACATGGAGACCATCAGAAAAGGATTAGGTTGTGGGAGAAGAGGAGAGGACTTATATTGAATATGTTGGATTTGAAATGGCTGGGACACCTCTAGATGGAGTTAGATTGGATATATGGGTCCAAGACTTGGAGATAAAATTTGACTTGGCTGCTCTTAAATTCACAGTCAAGGTGAAAAGGACAACTTCAGTTAGCAAGTGATAAAACAGTAATCAATAGGCCGGGCACAGTGGCTCACGCCTGTAATCCCAGCACTTTGGGAGGCTGAGGTGGGTGGATCACCTCAGGTCGGGAGTTTGAGACCAGCCTGACCAATATGGTGAAACCCTATCTCTACTGAAAATACAAAATTAGCCAGGCATGGTGGCACATGCCTGCAATCCCAGCTACTCAGGAGGCTGAGGCAGGAGAATCGCTTGAACCTGGAAGGCAGAGGTTTCAGTGAGCCGAGATTGCGCCATTGTACTCCAGCCTGGGCAACAAGAGCAAAACTCCATCTCAAAACCAACCAAACAAACAAAAAACAGTAATCAGTAAACAAGCCCACATTTGGTTAAGAGAGGAAAAACTTTCCCATAGCTATTGGTTGGAGTATGAGGGGCAAATAGACTGCTTAGAAAGACTGGATTTCAGGCAAGCATTTCAGAAAGTGACAATTTAGTCTTTGATAATTGTCAAATAAACAACTTATCGGCTGGGTGCAGTGGCTCACGCCTGTAATCCCAGCACTTTGGGAGGCTGAGGCGGGTGGATCACGAATCAGGAGTTCGAGACCAGCCTGGCACATTAAGAAGCCCATCCTCTACTAAAATGTACAAAAAATTACCCGAGCGGTGCGCGCCTGTATTCCGAGGGCTACGTCACTAGCAGGAAAGTCTTGAACCCAAGGCAGATTGCAGAGAGCGAGATCTGGCACTACACTCCAGCTGGGAACAGAGAAATGCTTCGAGGAAAAAAAAAAAAAATAAAAAAAAGAAAAAAAAAAAAAAATTACCATTAAAAATAAGCAACGCCTATTAGAAAGAAAATTTTCAGAGTATGCCACTTTTTGGGTGAAGAAAAAAGGGAAAATAAAAGCAAATAGGGTGCCGGGCATGGTGGCTCGATGCCCTGTGAATCCCAGCACTTTTGAGCTGACGGGCAGATCACTTGAGGCCAAGAGTTCGAGACCAGCCTGGCCAACATGGAAAAAACCCATCTCTACTAAAAATACAAAAATTAGCCGGGCGTGGTGGCCGGTGCCTGTAATCTCGGGTACTTGGGAGGCTGAGGCACAAGAATTGCTTGAACCCAGGAGGTGGAGGTTGCAGTGAGCCGAGATCATGCTACTGCACTCCAGCCTGTGTGACACAGCGAGACTCTGTCTCAAGAAATAAATAAATAAACAAAATAATTTTTTAAAGAGGGAAATTTGGACACAGATACAGATACAGATATGCAGAGAGACGATGTACCAAGAGGGAGGGCGAAAGCCATCAACCAGCCAAGGAGAGGCCCAGAACAGAGCCTTCCAGAGCCCTAAGGAATCCACCCTGCTAACACCTCGGTTTTGGACTTCCCGTCTCCGGAACTGGGAGAAAACACATCGCTGCTGCTTATGCCGCTCAGTTCGTGGTGCTTCGTCATACGGTCTCCGCAAACGAACACACCTGTCCTCTCGGCCAACGCCCAGCTGCTCCGATTTCTGAGCAGGCTGTGGGGCGACCCAGTTCATGGGCCTCAGGGCCCGCAGGGAGTGGGGAAGGAAGATGGCTACACTTGCCTCTCATCATGCTGCCTTTGAGAACTTTCTGGGGGGCTCTACAAAAGCAGGGGCTGCCCCAGTGGACTCCCTGTGTCTGAGGGAGAGTAGAGATCTTTAGGACTGGGTCCTGGTGGCCCCAGGGGCAGTCCTTTCCTGAGAGGCAGCTACCCCAGGGAGGAGATGCATAGGGCCCTGCAGGCTCCACTGAGGCACACGAGGAGGCAGTGTAGGGTCCCCAGGTCCACCTGTCCCAGTCACCCTCCTCCCCATGCCAAGCCAGCTGTGTCCCTGACTCACCACCCAGTTCTTGTGCACGATCATGGTCATGATGATCTGGTACTGGAAATACATGGGGATGAGCAGCGGCGGCCCAACTGCAAGAGAGAGACAGGCACTTAGAAGCATCCATTCACCCCGCCTGTGACGGAAGGTCGGGGGGACCCGGGCCCAGCACTGATCACAGGGGCCAGCCCTGCAGACGTGAGCAGAAGCAGCCAGGGACCCCGGGGCCTGCAGAGAAGGCTGGGAGCCCTCGAGGATGTGTGTCACCCCTGGTACTCTCTGAGCCTGTGTCCCCACCTGGCCTGTAACATGGGCTGAGGGGGTCTGCAGGGGATGGCTGCTGTGGCCCCTGCTTCTAACAAGTTTAGTGTCACTTTCTGGACCTGGAAAAGATGTCAGGTAGGAGGGAGAGAGACGCCACTCTGGGGGGAGGGGAGGGACCAGGAGTGGTTTCAGGGTGCTGAGCACTCACTCAGGAAGAAGTATTCGTGCTGGTGATTGTAGGGTAGGTATTTCAGCTTCTTCTTGCCGTACTGAGGAGACAGGAGAGATCATGAGCGCCCAGCAGCCTCAGCTCCCAGCCTCCCATGCTCCTCGACCCGCCCTGCAGCCACCATCCCTTCTCTCTACTCAGGGCATACCACTGTCCCTTTCCTGTCAATCTGCACCCTGGGCCCACCAAGCCTGGGGCCCCTCCAGCCCTCTGGGCTCCCCATTCTGCAGCCAGCAGTGACCAACGCTTCCTCAGCCCTAGCTGAGTGCTGGCCCAATGGCATCAATCCTCCGCAAGGCCGGCGCTTCTGAGGCTGAGGCTCAGCATTAAGCCATGTCCCAAGGCCAATGGGAAGTGGCCCTGGCTGGGATCAGAACCCAAAAAACTGACTCTGAGCCCATGTGACAGGCACTAAATAAATGTTTGTTGAATGAAAAGGCAACAGAGCAATTCTCGGCGGGGCATAAGCACCCAGGGGAGCTGCTAGGTCACCATGGAGAGCTCCTGGAGCCCACTGTGGCAGGGAGAACCTAGGTAAGGGCCCCAGAATTGCTGCCAGTCATCAGGCTGGGATCATCTTCCTCCCTGGAGCCTTCCTGTAATTTACAAGAGTGAATCACTCCTCCCCAGCTGGAGCCTAACCTTGAGGACAGAACAGAGGAGGCCATGGCTACACTGTGGTAGGCCACATCTGGCTACCTGAGGTCCCCATGAAGGCACCTGTTTCTTCCCCATCATAGCCTGCACTTTGGGCAGCCTGATGCCCAGAGGCTCTGATGGAGGAGGGCTGGGCTGGGTCCTGGGTATCGTCACTGTCCAAAGCTGCTCAGGCCACTCAGTGTGAGCCAGGCATAGGAACCACGGTTCCAGGGGACCTGGAGCCCTTAATTCCATGGTCCAGCCCCTAGGGACCAGCCCACCCTGCTCTTTCAGGACTGAGACCAAAAGATACTGCTCACTGAGTGGCACCTGCTCCTCTTGCTTGCAGTGTGGGGAGGCTGGGCTTGGAGCCTGAAGATGCGCTCGAGCCGACTCTGCCTCTCACCAGTGCTGAGACTGCGTGAGTCGCTTAGCCTTGCTGAGCCTTGTCTGGCATTCGAATCAGTGGTCGGTAAGAGGAGCCAATGAGAACATGGGCACAGGTGCTAAGTGCTCCCTATACGCCTGGATCCAAAGGCCACAGTTGCCTCCTCCAACAGTGTCCAGTCCTACTTATTGCAGTCAGGAGGTCCAAGTGAGTTACAGAGGGAAGGAACCTTGGATGGCGCCTAGGCCAGCGCCCCTGTCATCCGGGTGAGAACACAGAGGGAAGTGATTGTCCAAATCACAGGGAGAGCACGGACTCCTGAGGGAGGAGGCTGTGGGTGGGAACCAGGTCCACTCTGTCCCCAACACTTGCATCTTGGCACCAATGGCCGTGGTCACAGCACGCCCAGCCGAAGAACCCCCAGAAACAGTCCCTTTGTTCTGTGTGGCCTCCTGGGCCTTGGCAAGGATCTCACCCATTCCCAGAAAGGACGGCCACTTGTAGGAAGACTATCATTAAGGCCAGGGCTGAGGCCGGCCATGGGGAGGTCCGAGCCAGGAGGCCTCACAGGAGCCTTTCATGAGTCTCCAGTCGATGGAGGCGCTGGAGAAGCCAGCACTGCAGACCACGCCCTCGAGGTGGCCAGTCTCGGAGGCCTGCAGTGGCTCACAGAACAGGCCTCTGGGTCCTGCTCTAAGCTTCTCCCCGAGGAGAGGGAGCAGGCTCACAGCCCCAGCCTTAGCGTGCAGTGTCTCCAGCTCTGGCCAAGAACTCCTCCCCACTGCATCTCTGTCCCACACAGCGTCCCGTCCCTCTTGGGCTGGGCCGGCTGTACTCGGAAGTGAGCACAGAGGGCAACCCAGGCAGGTCAGCAGGGGCCAGGGCATCCTATGGAGGGACTGAGGGCTGGCCACGCTGCTGTGGGGGCCTGGGAGGCACCTGGGGAGTCTGTTTGGAGCTGCATGTGCACAGTAGGCACCCTGTTCTCATGGGTGATGGTGGCCTTTGGGTGGACAACAGAGGTTACAGGGGCTGCCTCCGCTGGTAAGCACTGCTGGCTCTAGTGTGCACCCCTTTAATGCCCCAGAATGACCCTCGGGAGCCAGGGGGCCCTGCTTGCCAGGCAGCAGCAGGCCTCAGAGTGGGCCTCTGTGGGACGGTGAGCGAAATGCTTATCACAGTCACGCGCGTGTATGTGCGTGTGTATGGTGACATACCATTACACATCTATCCCCATCTCGATGGCCTCAGCTGCAGCGGGTCTGCTGGGGGATGGCCAGTACTCCCCTCCCAAACCAGAAAGTACAACTGTGGGCTTGGGATACCAAGCCCTGCCCTGTGGCTAACTCTCTGCTCTCATCTTTCCCACGCTCGGTTCTTTGCCAGAGCTTTGCCATTTAAGTCATGGGAGCAGGGAAAGGAGGGAGAGGTATTTTAGAATGCACCAAGCTGAGGGGGGGCGGGGTGAGTGCCTGGCTGTTTAATTGATCAGAAAGCTGGGGGTACCCAACAAACGTATTTCGCAAGGGTCCCCGGGACTCCGAAGCTGTGGTGTGCAGCCAGACGGTTTGGGTTTGGACAGTGGTGTTGCCTTTTCCTAGCTGTTACCTTGAACAAGTCACTTCATGTCTCTAGGCCTTAGTTGTTCCATCCATGAAAGGGGTCGATGACAGCTCCTGCCTCACGGGTTAAGCAAGGACTAAGTGACGTTGGGCACGCACACTGCCCATCGCGCTGTCCAGCCCACAGACTCACTCAACAAGAGTCAGGCTTCTTCCCAACTGGGGGCTCAGAGCCCCAAGTGTGGGGAGTGGAGGACCCCACACATCTCCTCTTCCCGAGGAGTCCCCGTCACACACACAGAGAAAGCCCAAGAGGCATGGAAGACACACGACTTTCACTTGGCTGGGCTGCGGCCAAGGGTGTGGGTGGCACACATGGACCTCCCCCTGACCAGGGACGGCGCCTTCCCAGGCTGCGGCTGATAGGCGGGGACTCAGGCCAGGGGCGAGGGAGGGAGTGCAGCCAACCCTGGCAGCGGGGCTGACTCTCCCGTCCTGGGTCTCTCTGCGCACCACAAGGCCAGGCTTGGATGAGGGCCTGGAGGATGCCGGGCCATGTGGAGAGGACCTTTCAGCTTTGGAACAAAATGTCTGAGGAATGACAAGGGCCCTCCTTGTCCGTGGAGGGTTGGGGGAGGGGAGCTGTCGCAAAGCCCAGTCTCTCGACTCTGGGAACCTGCAAACTCACACACAGAGAGAAACAGGCAGCACGACCTCCCCAGCAGGAGCAGAATGGCAAGGTCCCAGTCGAAGGTCCCTGAGAGGGCGGCCTGTGTCTCCCAAGGTGGGATGGGTGGCTTAGGCCTGTTCATGAAGGTCTGCCTGAAGCAGGAAGCCCAGGAGGTTAGCTTCAGACAGGCAGGGCAGCACAGGTGGTTTCCAGGATGGGAGGAGGAGGAGGATCTCAGGCATGGCATGGCTTCTGAGGCCCATTTACACTGCTACCGGGATACTGGCCTCACCAGCCCCCTCAGAAAACGAGGATATGGCAAAAGAAGAACAAAACAAGACTGCTGCCAATATCACCACTATTAAACTCAGCTCTGAAATTTCCCGTCAATGCAATAAAACCCAAAGCAGACAACAGAATGGAGCTATTAAAAGAAAGAGACTACACTTAAACATCAGATTAGAAGGAAGGAAGTGAGGGAGGGAGGGAAAAACACAAAGGGCGAAGGAGGGAAGGGAAGGAAGAATGGAAGGAAGGACGGAAGGAGAAGGAGAAGAAAAAGAAAAAGAAAGAGGAAGAGAAAGAAGAAAGGAAGGAAGATCAAGGGAGAGGAAAAGAAAGAAAGAGTGAAGAAGGAAGGAAGAAGGAGAAGAAAGAAAAGGAATGAAGGAAGGAAAGAGAAGAAAAGAAAAAGAAAAAAGAAAGAGGAAGGAAGGAAAGAGGAAAAAAGAGGAAAGAGAAAGAAAGGAAGGCAGCAGGAGGATAATCTAGGCTGTGACTAATGTTTTTTGGTTTGTTTTTAGTGTGTTTTGTTGTTGTTGTTGTTGCTGTTGTCATGTGTTGTTTTTGAGAGGGTTCACTTGTTTGCCAGGCTGTGGTGCAGCGGTGGCAATCTCAGCTCACTGCAACCTCTGCCTCCCGGGTTCGAAGCGATTCGTCTTGCTCAGGCCTCCAGAGTAGCTGGGGATCAGGTGTGCGCCACCACACCCGAGCTGAATTTTTTGTGATTTTTTAGTAGAGAATCAGGGTTTCACCGTGTTTGAGCCGGGATGGATCTCGTGATCTCCTGACCTCGTGATCTGCCGTGCCTCGGCTTCCCAAGAGTGCTGGGATTATCAGACATGAGCCACCGCGCGTCTGCAAGGACTACATTTTCGATTATTTTCTAGGATATGATCATCTAACCCAGGAAACTCAAAAGAATCAACCGAAACAAACTAGAATTACTGAGGCGAGCATAAGGTGGTAACTAGCGGGACAGAAGACGTAAATGGTATCCCATTCATCGGAAGGCGCATGCAACAAAAATTAGAAAAAAAAAAGAAATGAGGTACACTACAGCAATATCCACTGCTTTCCTGAGTACCAGAGAACCCCAATCATGAGGAAAAATAATAAAACGGATAAGATTGTGTTTTTAAAGAAACATCCATTGAGCATATTAAAGAAATTGGACCTTGGCAGGCACGTGGCTCCATGCTGGTAATCCCAGCACTTTGGGAGGTGAGGCAGGCAGATACGGAGGTCAGGAAGTTCAAGACAGCCTGGTCCAACATGGTGACAACCCCATCTTACTAACAAATACGAAGAATTATCCAGCATTGGTGGCATGCACCTGTCATGTCCCGCAAAGCTACCTGGAGGCTGAGGCCGGAAGATGGCTTGAGCCAGGAGGTTGAGGCTGCCAGTGAACCAAGATTGCACCACTAGCTTGCTAGCTGGGTGACAGAAGCGAAGACCTTGTACTCAAAAAAAAAAAAAAAGAACAAAAAAAAAAGAGAGAGGAGAGAGAGAAGTGTTAAGGGGAAAGGCACGCCCACTACAGGCTATCCAGATGAGTGGTAATGCTGCTCAGAGGATGAGAAGATGTGAGTTGGCTCGCCGTCATCCAGACAGTGGCCTGGGAGAGGACAGACAGCCCAGCCCAGGCCAAGCCCGGGCTCAGGAGCACTCACTGCCTCAAATGGAGAAGCAATGCCACCTCATGGGGCTGCCGGGAAACCTGGCCGACTCTGGAGAAAAGTGAAGGCCGAACATCATCCTACCCATACCCCGTTTGGCAGAAGTTAAAGATCGAAACACGAAACCTTAAAGAACTGAAAATCATATGTATGAAGAACTTTCTAAGCACACAAGAAATGAATCTCTGCGGGAAGTGAATATACTTTGCTACATATGACAAAAAGAATCCTCCTGGACAGCATCAATAAGACCAAAAGGCAGAAAACGAGGGAAAGGGCTCTACTGCCGAGCACATGCTATTCACAGTTCCACGTGCTGGAGCCGCCTGGCTGGGCTGCTTTGCTCATCTGTCCCCAGAGACAGGAGCTCTGGCCGGTGTCCTTGCTCTGGAGACTGGGATAGCGGCTTGAGACCCTGAGGCCTGGCCGCCCCACCTGGCCCTGCTGTGGTGTGTGGGACTGGCATGTGACAAGACCCATCAGACCCACCGTCACCGTCAAGAGACCAGAGTTCCCTCCAGGGCAGCCGGGTCCTGTGAGACCCAGCACAGGCCGGAAAACCAGGAACCCGGGAAGCACCAGTCCTTTCCCCATGAGTGAGAAAGGGGATTTCCACAGAACACTGCGGCACTGGCTGGGGACTTCCAAATGCCACTGATAATTGGCCAACCAGATCCTCACAGCCTCCCACCCCCATCTCCTGCCCTAGAGCCAGCATTCCAGAAGTGTCGGGGGTGAGAAGATGTTGGGAAAGGAGAGGCTTCTCTGGCCACCACACACAAGAAAGACGCCTTCTTGCCAGTGCAGCTGGCGGGACTAGACTTCCTTTGTTAGAGACACAGAGAACATCTGTCAGGACAGCCAACAGCTCTACACCACAAAGCCTCCCCGATACAGTCTTTGTCCCCACTTATCAGAAGACCCCAAGTTCACCAGTTCCGTTATCTAGACACCTCTAATGAAAGCTGGCAAACGGTTTCCTAGAAGAATAACAATAGCCTGTAGTTGGCAGAAAATAGAATCCCTGGCAGCTTAGAGAGGCTTCCAAAGTACAGAACTGTGGCTAATTTCCTGCGAATTGGCCATGTTACAGAAAAATCCATGTTACTGCTCAGATCGCCTCACGGGTGGAAATGAAATAAGAAGAGGGCATACAAACCAGAACTGGGGAACCAGGCTGTCTCTTCGCCTCGTTCCAAGCCTTAGGCGCCAACGCTGTCGGGAATACTACTTCACTCAGGGCGCCACTCCTTAGTGAGAGAAAATTGGCCTCGCTTGGCAAATGCTGATGGAACCCTACTCTATGCATGGCTTTGTGGCTCCTGAGATCTGCATAAAAGCCACAAGGATCTTCTAAACCTTCATTTTCATTATTAATGTATTTCCAAAAAGCAGCGAATATATTTATTTTTTTTCTTGTAAATTAGGCCCTGAGATAGAGGCTCTACATTAAAAAAAAAAGAATGTATTAAATAAGAACATTTTTTGTGGGATGCATTGTTGGGGCTTTACTTCAAAAGAAATTATGGGCCGAGCACGATGGCTCACACCCGTAATCCCAGCACTTTGGGAGTCTGAGGCAGGTGGATCACGAGGTCAGGAGTTCAAGACCAGCCTGGCCAGCATGGTGAAACCCCGTCTCTACTAAAAATGAGAAAATTAGCCAGGCGTGGTGGTGTGCACCTGTAATCCCAGCTACTCAGGAGGCTGAGGCAGGAGAATCACTTGAACCTGGGAGGCGGAGGTTGCAGTGAGCCAAGATCGCGCCACTGCACTCCAGCCTGGGCAAGACAGTGAGACTCTGTCTCAAAAAAAATAAGTAAATAAATAAAAGAAAAAAAGAAAGAAAAAAAAAAGAAAGAAAGAAATTATGAATGACTAACACTCAATTTTTCTGCCTTATAAAATAATATAGGTCCTGTTATGGTTCAGAAATACAACAGAATACTATATGGCTAGAGGGAGATGAGACCTGTCTACATGAACTGGTGGGGAAGGGCGTCCACATTCGCAGAGGTGGCAAGTTGTGGGATACAAGGTAGAACTTTTTTCTTTTTTCTTTTTTTGTTTTTGAGACAGAATCTTGCTCTTCTGTCCCGCTAGAGTGCCGTTGTACAATCATAGCTCATTGCAGCCGTGAGCTCCCAGGCTCAAGTGATTCCCCCACCTCAGCCTCCCCTGCACGTGGGACCACAGACGCACAACACTACACCTGGCTAATCTTTTGTATTTTTTGCAGAGATGGGGTCTCACTTTGTGGCCCAGGCTGGTCTTGAACTCCTAGGCTCAAGCAATCCTCCCACTTCAGCCTCCCAAAGCACTGGGATTACAGGTGTGAGCCACTACAGCTGGCCTAAAATTTTTGTTTGTAAAGAAACAGATATATGCATGTTTATACATACATAAAAATATCTAGAAGACTATATAGCATCTTGTTAACAGTGGTTACCCTCGGCCGGGCGCAGTGGCTCAAGCCTGTAATCCCAGCACTTTGGGAGGCCGAGTCGGGCGGATCACGAGGTCAGGAGATCGAGACCATCCTGGCTAA